GTCTGGACCACCCTCTCCATCAAGCAAATGGGCCTCATACAATCTTCTTGCCAGAATCCTGACCTCCCAGGACAGCCCTTGAGGCCACTGCCCCACCAGCTGAGCACCCCATGTTACCAGCTCCGCCACTATTGCACCTGCCCCGTTTGTGCAGGGGGAAAGGGCTGTCTCTTCGACAAGCCCCAGCCCAATTCCTGGGCCTCCCCCAGGGAAAGGAGCCTTTGGCCAACCCCTAGACCTGGCTGCTGCCACCCCAGCCCACTCTACCCCCTGCCCTCCATAGAAGGGCTGTGGATGCTGGGGCTATCAGCCTAACAATGTTCTCCTTCCCAGCACTGTTACTCCAAGCCAAGTTAGGGGCGAGGAGCAGAGAATAGGGTGACTCTTCAGCCCCCTGGCTTTTCCGGGGTAGAGGTGGGGTCTCTGGGGTTACAGGAGTCAAGACCCCAGCAACACAGCTCCCAAAGGCACCAGACAACCCAGCAGCCTGTACTCACCCCGCCCACCCTTGGGCCATCCCCCAAGCTTTGACTAAGTCAAGCAAGGGCCATACCCTGAGTCTCCAGCCTCCCAGCCTGGGCCCCTGGGGAGCTGGAGAGGTATGGGCCAAGGCAGTGGGGGTTTCTGGAAGGAAGAGGGACTGAGACTTTGAGATGGCCACAGTGGGAGATGGGGGCTCTACAGGATGCCCCTCACACCCTGGCCCCCTGAGGTGAAGAAAGGAATCCCACCTCATCATGGCTGACTGGGCTTCTCTGCCCCCCACTGCCCACCTGCTCCCCCATGGGACCTCTGACCCTGGCAAAGGGAAGCCCAACTGGAGAAGGGGGCCAGGAGCCCAGAGTGCCCTGAGGCAGCCCTTCCCACCCCCTGAGATCAAGGCAATGGTGGTTTTACAGGCTGAAGGGTCAGTCATGGCAGGGGCTGGGGGGTAGGGGGCAGAGAGGAAGCAGGGTGCAGGTCCCCCTTATTGGGGGCAGCCATCAGCCACCCCTGAGCAAACCTTCCTGCTCCCAACTCACCCAACCAGGCCAGAGGCACAGTCATTCCACCCCTGTCTAGCTGCCCCCCACAGCCTCAGGGCCCCTATATGATGCTCATCTGGATGTGGGGGGCCAGCCTGAGCGGGATCCCCCCCCAGGGCACAGCGCAACAGTTCCAAAAAAATAGAGATTTGTATTTTTAAAAAAAATTAAATAAAAGCCCAGCTCTGCTGATAGGCGAATGTTCCCCCCAACCCCACCCCCACCCACCCATTGGTTCCCTGGCCTGCACCCCCATCCCACCACGGCCCCAGGGGTATTTACAACATGGAACAATAGAGGCCTGGGGTGGAGGGCACTGCGACAGGGAGAAGGGGGCACAGGGCAGGTCCCCCCAAGAGGGGTCCCCCAAGACAACACAATATCAACAAGAAAAGTTGCAAATCAGGCAGAAATGGGGACATCATTCCAAGGTCCTTATATACAGACACTGCATGACCAGCAGGGAAGGGGGGACCAGATGGGACAGGCATGGGCATGAGGTGGGCAGGTGGGCCAGCCCAGGAGTAGGAAGGGAAAACAAGGCCTCCGCCCCACTCTCACCCCCATCCTCACCCCACCTTTGGTAACGAAAGCCCTTCGGGGAGCCCCCGGTGGTCAAGAGTTTCCTCTGGGAGTTCCCAGGGAGAGGCGCTCCCGAGCTTAGCCCTGCCTCAGTGCTGGAATGGGGCCTCCTACCCGCCTCCGGTCGGCCATGCGGGGAAACAATGAGCAAAAAGTGTGCTGCCCACCCTTGACTCCCCCATCTGCCCAAAGTGAGGGAGTGCTCCCTGGAAGTCGAAGGACAGGAGCCAGTCACTGTAGAAGAGCCCTCTTGGGCACTGGCTGAGGGAGCCCCAGAAAGGGGAAGAAGGGGCTCCCTGGGGGCTGAAGTGAGGGGAGAGGACCTGGACCCTGCACGGGAGAAGGGCCAGCGTGGTCATGAGGCCAGTACTCGCCCCCACTCGGGGCTCTGGCCAAGAAGTCCACGCTGGAGGGGTCAGGAGTGGGGGCCCTGGAATGGACCCACGTGGGAGCTGGCCGGCAGCTGGGCGAGGGGGTGGCCGCCGGCCAGAAGGGGGCTCACAGGTAGATCTCGCGCTTGGCCGTCTGGGCAGATGCCGGTGTGGCTGCGGGTGGGAAGTCCGAGGTCTGGGTCAGGGGGATTTCCTCCAAGGTGGCCGAGTCCTTGCAGGAATCATGGCTACTGTGGGAGAAGGCACTGTAGGAGGGCAGGAGGCGCACAGGGGCCGTTTTGGTGTTCCGGTCTTCTGGGGGGCTGGGGCTGCCGACGCCAGCAGGCTCCTGCCCTCCTCGGTCCTGGTAAGGCACGAAGGTGGAGAGTTTGAGGGCGCTGCTCTTGGTCCGGCGGCTGGGGGACGACTGGCCAGGCATCCAGCACGTGTCGGAGTGACCAAACTCGCTGCACTCCCGGGTACATGTGCCCGTCATGGCAACATCAGGCAGAGGGCGCAGGTCTGCAGAAGACAGAGGGAGGACGGTCATCAGGCAGAGTGGCCTCGCAAAGCTCCACTCCATGGCCTCCCACTGGTGCCTCAGAACAGGGGTGCACACTCATTCCTGCCCACCGAGCTCAGAGGCACACACACCCTCGAATAGACACACATACTCCCACCATCCACCACACACTCACTTTCTCACGTACACACGATCTATCCTTAAATAGACACGTTCCTTCCATCTTCACTCACCCTCTATCTCTGCTCACACACACACACACACCAAATTTGCCCTCAGACAGGTGCACAAACACACAACTCATCTACACACTCCATCGCCTATCTCCAGGCAGGCTTAGACATGCGAGTCTACCCCATCTCATTTAAGGGCTCTCTCTTTCTTTGTCCCTCTCTGTCTCTGTCTCTGCCTCTGTCTCTTTCTCTCTCACTCTCTCACATATACACACACCTGCCCTCAGATATAGGCACAGATGCACAAATCTACACTGGGCAACTCTATCTTCAGACAAGGTGGGCACATATCTTCCTTCTGAAACCCCTCAAGCCTCACCATGCTCCCAGCTGTCCTGGAATCCCACCCCACTCCACTCCACCCCAGCAAGGTTCTGCTTTAAAGCCAGGGTGAGGGTAGGAGCTTCTGTGTGAGGAGTTCACATAGAAGCACACACTCACACACCCACAAGTACACCCATGCAGCCCCCCCTCACCTCACTCTGGCCCCCTATGCCAACCACCACCCCTGGCCTTGCCCCGGCTCCCTGCCCAAACACCCACGGGAAAAGGAGTTGGCTGCCTGACATCAGCAGTAGACCGGTGTGGTTGCTGGGCAGCAGAGTCTCCATGGGAACAGCTGGGCCACAAGCACTTCCTGTCACTGTTACCCTGTCCCGCCCTTGCTCAGGGACAGTACTAGGCAGTGACCCCACCTCAGGGACTGATTGAGCAGCACTGCCTGGGGCAAGGGCTCCCTTGGCACCACCCACCTTGGCTTGGCCTCCTGCCAGTGCAAAGTGAGGAAGGGACAGCTCTGTTGTTAAGCCTCAAAACACCAAGGCCCTTCAGCTCAGGTGGAGTTGGGGACCCACCATGGCACGGAGCAGAGCACGAGCATTGGGTGGGCGGGGCTGGGTGCTGGGCCGAGTCCCCCAGATCCCAGACCCCAGAGTAGCTCCCACATACCTGGCACTCCGCCTCAGGGCCTGCTCCTGCCAGCTGGCTCTGCGCGGGCACAAAAAGGACGAGATGGGCATGAGATAGAGCACGGAGGGGCAGGGTGGGGCGAGGACACTCTGAGACCTGGGGCCTGGGAGGTCAGACAAGGGCCCTGTGCCTGAGGGGTGGGAGTAGAACTTTTCATCTCTCTTTAGGGGGCTGGGGGCATTTAGAGAAGGAAAGGGTGAGACCCAAGGACAACTCCAAGCTGGAGAGTCTTTCCATCCCAAGGGGAGGTTTACTCAGTCTCTCTTGCCACAGGCTGCCACGGATGCCTTCACACGCACACACGCGCACACACACACACTACATATACACCTTCTGACAGCACGCCCACCACACACTCCACATTGACCTCTGCTCCGGCCAGGACCTCCCTTCTGCCATCACCCTCCAAGCCCCTCTCAGACAAGCCTTTCCCGTCCCCAGACCTCCCCACTCCATTTCTTCAGCCAAACCCTCTCCCGTTCCTCCCCGCAGGGGATCATCGTACCCTGCCCTGAGATCCTCAAAACATCCAGGGTCCCTTCCCTTTTCTCAAGGTTCTTCAACCCTGTTATGGGACCCTCATTGCCTCAAGGTCCCCTCAAGTTTCCCTCACCACTACCTGAGCCCTCTGGCCATCATTCTCAGGTTCCAGTCCCCAGGGACGCAGGAGAATGTAGTGATGAATGCAAGGTCTTTTGGAGTCTGAGAAGCCTGGGTTTGAATTCTTCCCAGCTCTGTCACTTCCTATGTATGATTGTGGGTAAGTGGCTCATCCTCTCTGAGCCTGTTTCCTCCACTGTAAAGTGGGCACAATAAAGTTCTCAGGTCAGAGAGCAGTTGTGAAGATTAAATGAATATGTACCTGAAAGCACTCAGCACGGTGATTACTGCTGAATATACAATAAGCTCAATAAATGGAGGATATTTCTAAGGTCTCATCACCATGCTCTGGCTTCTATTCATTCCTGGGGTGTCCCAACCATGCTGACGATCCTCACCGTTCTCGGGGTGCTCCATCTCTCCTATGCTGCCGTCGGGGGTGGTGCGCTCATAGTGATCCTCAGGCAGAGCCAGGGGACCAAGTCGAGGCCCCGAGGATGACTTGCTGGACGGCGTCTCAGACTCTTCCAGACCACTGTCGTAGTAACTGTGCTGGGATGGGTCCTGCAGCTCCTGGGCCTGGCTGGTGGCGGAGAAGGTGACGCGGCGGTGAGGTAACTGCAGGGAGAGAAACTGTCACTGCTGGCCAGCCAGCCTGCCTCTCGGGGCCCTCCACCACACCAGGCCCCAGCCTCAGCCAGGCCCACCCCCCGAGCTTCCAGCCCCTCAGCAGCAACCAAGAAGAAGCCCAGCCCCCTAGCATAGCATAGTCCCCAGACGGCGCAGACCTCAGCAGAGGACTGCCCCTTAGTTCTAAAACAGCTCCCAGTACAGCCAAGACCACACACTGTAAGTCCCAACGAGCATAGGCCCCAATGTTATTCTAGCCCCCAGGCCACCACAGTAAGCCTAATCAAGTACCTCTTGTTACAGCACGGCCTCCCGAATTAAGCCTCACTTTAATTCCAGAACAGCCAACACCAGAATAGCACAATACCAGCCAAGTCTCCTAATTCCAGCATAGCCTTTAAACACTAGCAAGCCTCCAGTTTCTAGAACAGCTCCCTAAAAGCAGTACAGACACCTAATTCTACAACAGCTCACCAATACAACAGTCCCCTAATTTCCAAACAGCACCCCCCAAACTCCAGCTCCTCACCTGTCTCATTGCTCTGTAACTTCCCATTGCATCCATCCAAATGAGGTGCCAACCTCTTTCTGATCCTGTTCCTCATGTCTGCTTTGTAATGCTGTAGGCAGCCTCTGGACTCTCTGCTGAGTCCGCTCCCACTCAGCCCCCCTGTCCCCACTTCGCTCTCCTCCAGAGAGGCCTGGGAGTGGAAAAAGGTGGGTGGGGGAGAAGGAAAGGGAGCCTGATAACAAACCAGGGCACCTCGGGGGTGGGGAAGCAGAGCAATGGATACTCCCCTGCCCTCCGGATTAGGAAATAGTGTTAACTGTAGCGGGCACGGCCCAGGAAGACCTGGACCTGGGGAGGCGCTGGGGGCAGGGTTGGGGGTGGTGCTGCTATCCGTCAGGGGTCAGGAAGCCTGGCCTCAGATGGACTCCTTCTAGAAAATAGGTAGGAGCTTCTAGAAGGGGCCACCAGCTTGGTGGAACCAGGACTTAAAAGCTTGGACTGGGGGCTGGGCTGGGGGAATGGAACGGTCACAGTCTGCTCTCAGCCAGCAGCCCTGTCTGCCTGCCACGGGTTAATGATCACCCCGGGAACCTGGCAACCTCAGCTTGGCACTTGGCACAACCAGCCAGTCACCCAAACACCCACCTGGGACCGCCACCAATTTTCCTGCCAAACAGAAATTAGGACCCGGGGTCCCTGGAGGGCATGGGTGGGAGCAACCCAGGCCCAGGGCCCTGCTGATGGGTCTCCAGGCTCCCACCAATTCTCTAAGACATTTTTGGTGCTTTGTATTTCCTCTAAAACCCTCTGTAGAAGGTTATCTAATGGCCAGAAGTGGTTCCAGGATTGTAGACTCACCTTCCCGACACCTCACACAATCTCCATTTCATTCAAGACAGTTGGGGTGGGGAGGATGGTCAAAACAAGAAGCTTTAGAGAGCTGATGGCGAGGCAGCCCAGAACTGCCTTCCCATCCTGGCTCCCACCCCATCTTCAGGAACAGGCAACCCTTCTTGGGATCCATGTTGTGATCTAAAACACTGATGGGTCTGAATGATGACAGACAAGGTCCCCAAAATTGATCCGGACATTTGGGGCCGAGAGGATATAAAGAAGCACCATCTACCTGGTGTTGGCGTGAACAGGCTCCAGGAGGGGTCTGGGAGGCACAGGGCAGTCTGGTTGTCAGATACTCTTTCCAATTTCTTTTCAAGACTTTAGCCAGGAGCCCTCCCTCCCTGCAGAACCTGCACCTGGTAATCTAAGTTTTCCGTCTTGCCTACTAGGCACGTCACTTGGTCTCTTTTTCTTATGATTCTTTTCTGTAAAATGGAG